TATAAACTATAGCAAGCCATTGCTCGGTTCACTGTTCCCCAGTACTGAGCTACACAATAGACAATAGCTTTGTTTTTGGATAAGATAGAACCAGCCTGGAAAAAAACTCCAGACTTTTAAAAAGTAAGCCTACTGAAAGACGTAAAATTAATATTAATTCAACAAAATTAAGAGGATGACCCGGGTTCTACACTAATAGCCTACGATAAAAGAAATTTACAAGTTGTGTTTATGCATAGACCAACTTTTAATGCAATCCATGAATACATTAGGCCTACCACTTTATAATGTATTGATAAATATTTATTTAAATTCAATAGCTCTATTTAAAAATGCGTAACCACTACAATGTAATTCTGTAATGACGTTTAACGTGTAAATTTTATTATGATTTATGATTTAAGGTTACTACAAGCCCAGTATATAAAATACGAACTCAAACATTTTATTTGCAGAAGTTCACAAAATGGTATTTATTTGAATAAAAGAAACAAATGGCAGACTACGAAAATAGATATTTCATAACATGTAATAGATCCAAATTAAATGTGCATTTTTATCTTTTTCATACCAATAAGCTACTATTTAAGTAAGAAACCCACATATAAAACATACTCCCTTATATTAGTACATTTCTAATCCTTATGGATCATCTGAAGACAGTTGTATTGTTAGTTCTGTCCGGTGCACTGTCTTTAGAGGTCGTGTTTTGTTTACAATTGTTTCTTGTTTTCAGTAATTTAAAACCTCGTTTAACCAAATAAAACGTTCTAATCACAACTAATAACACGTCCCCTAGTTATATAACCAAACAGTAAGGAACAAATCATGAAGTTAACTATAAAATGATAGAAACACAATTTTGTCGACACTAGCGATCAGTGTCACCGGACATGAACTAGACACGAAAAACGAGCTTCAAAGTTTACAAAGGGATGTAAAGTTTACTTGTGTTGGTTAGTCTATGGTAAGACTATAATGCATTTTCCACCCTAATAACCATAAGAATAATGTTAAACATACTTCCAAATATATTTATTTTATCGACTACGTTGTTCTTACTCCTAATTAATCGTAGGATACGACATTATGGTACCGATACGATATAGGTAGTACACTTTCGGCAACACTGGCCAAAAATATTCGTGCTTGGCTCCCATTGGACGGCCCGCGAGGCTTCTGATTGGGAGTTAGCGAGTTCCGCCGAGGGACCGAGTTAGCGACTTCCGTACGAGGACGGAATTCGCTAACCCGGCTTTAGAGCGGGTTAGCGGGTTCCGGAGTTAGCCAATTCCGAAACCGAACAAGTTAGCGAGTTCCTCTCATCGACCAAATTTGAAGATAGGGCATTTAACATGGGGTTAGCGAGTTCCAGAGTTAGCCAATTCCGCGGACCCATTAATTCTACACTCACATTGAAAAGTAAATTACACGAAAATGGTCAGATACTAAATTAATTGTAACAGATGACTACAACACCAGTGTGTTCCTAGTGGACACGAGACATTTTACAACATTCCATCAATAACGTTCGGGTCTTTTGTTACTTGGTTTGTAAACATTTGTACTGTATATATAATGCAACGTATGTCTGTCGTATGTATGTTTGTCCTTTATGCGTTACCAAACCCAAATGAAAACCACTTACTGTAAGAATAAAACTATTTATGGTTGTCTTAAGTGACAAACACTCTTTTAAAATCATAAATGGATTTATACTATTGCTATTCTCAAGAATACTTTTACGTTTTGAAAATGTGTAATGAGAATACTGCAATACATACAATGCATTCCAAAAAACACTATGCAGTGTGCAACCTGGCACAGGGAACAAATCTATTTTTTGAACTAAACAAATTACTAGAGACCTACAAAATTTAATAAGTGTAGGGTAATCATATTTTCAAATCTGAAAAAGTCCAACTGAAGATTTTGTACTTAATAAGTTTTATAAAAATAAAATTCATTCCGGTATGTTTTTCGTGATGGAATTATTAATATTATTCTTAGATTGTTCGCTACTACAATATACTACAATATAAGAACAGTATTCTCTTCCAGACCTACATTGAGAAGTTCCCTGACCATAGTGTAGCCCAAAAACAAGGATCAAGACACAAACAATATTGTTTATAAAATACCCTGTGAATGTGGAAGAAGTTATTACAGACAAACACCACGACCTATGGAGAAGATACTACAAGAACACCAGAAGAGCATTAGTAACCATTTGGAGAATTATTCAAACTTAGTGAACATGTCTTCTCTGAAGAACATAGAATACATTGGACTGAATCGACTATGATCTACAAGGAAGCAGACTGGAAACTCAGAAATCTTAAAGAAGCTGCTTGCATGGCGGTTGATAAAAGAAGCATATCCCAACCTAGTGCTACAATCAGCCCCATGTTTATACCTTTGATTCAAGAACAGGTTGAGAAGAAAATTAAAATTGGAAAAACAATAATAAATTAACAGTGACATCCACATAATATATACATATATAGATCAACATTTTTTCCTACTGACTTAATTTAAAAATAATTCAAACATATCTTAATTGGATATATACATAATATATACATGTATTATTTATCTGATTTGTTGTGACTAAAGGCTGAAGATGGGTTTTGATGAAAACTCTAAATATACCTCCACTTTTTTTTGGAAACTGTGTATAATTTTAATTTAATGATGAGTAGCCAACATACTAAGAATAACATAAAAATAAAAGTGACAAAAATATTGAAATAGGTAAAAATACTCGTCAGCGAAAGTATTGGTGTTTTAAAATCATTTTAGAACAAATAAAAACGTAGATACTAAATTGTAGCCTATTACAGGCAGTAAAGGTATATGTGACTACGAAAGGTAGGCGGGCATTATAGTGCAGTCTATGTAGCCTATCGTGCAATGGTGCATTGTGGTATCGGTTCTCGCATCGCGTAATAAACTGCGTTAATTGCGTTATTGGAGGCAGGCGTCGGTGAAAGCAGAAAGCCTTTCTCGACACTATAATTCGTTCAAACAGCCGTGGCACCTGAGGGATTAGGAGGCCCCAAGGGTTTCCATGGGGTCTCCTAATCCGTCAGGTGCCACGGATGTTTGAACGGAGTATAGCAAAGACGGAACTGGGAATCCGGAAATCGTTCACTAATCCTCCAATTTGAACACTGGAGGGAAAACTGCAGCGATCGAATACGATCAATTGTGTTCAGGAAACTGATGCAGTAATGTTGATTGTGATTGTGTAAATTACACCTAGGTTTCATAGATAGATAGTATTTTATTGATTGTGAAACTGATAATAAATAAGGTTGAATTGGGAAAACCTTCAAGGAGATAACCCTGAGATGATATAACTCTTTTGGGGATATCTTTAGTTGAGAATGATTTACCAGTTCTAGAAAGAAGTCAGTTTAAGAAGAGGGGGACGTTAAAGCAGAGGGGACAAATTTAAGAATTGACTATTTGATAAGTGAAACCGTTTTTTTAAATAAAAAAGAAACTGTTTGAAAAGAGGTGAATGTTTGAGAAGGGTGACAGTATGATAAGTTTGAAAGGAGGAAAATTAAATGCAACTGTTGAAATAAAAAAGGAGAGTGTTTGTTGAGCAATCTCAAAGTGTCCACGAAATCTTATTACAAGAACGAACTGTAAAATTATTCTATTATTCTATTATTTGAATTTACCTTTGATTTCAATAGTTATCATACAAAAAATTAAATAATTATAAATTGAAAATGATAACTCATTATTTGCATATAAATTGAGGCAAACCAAAAAGAACTTTTTAGACATAAGGTCTCACTGAAGTAACGTCTTCGTCTTAATGTTAAGAGAAAGTATATCAAGTCATTTTATATCCTATATTGTGACGAAATCAAAGTATCGAATTTCAATTGTTAAAAATATGTGTTAAGTAACCACTAACCGTGGTGGTTTCGTCTAATTTACCTAATCTAGTCGTAACACATCAAGCTTTGAAGTCGTCGTGGACAATCTATCATGCTTTTGTTTATATTATATCTGTACTATATCATTTTGATAAATATAGTATGATGAAAACACAATAAAGGCCCGTTCACACGGGGCGAGTTTACAAGCTACACGCCAGCGTGTAAGAAGCCGGCGTGTAGCTTGTAAACTCGCCCCGTGTGAACGGGGCTTTAAGAGAATATTCCAAAATAACCATTGTCAACTAATGAAAACGTTTAGGAATGTTAGATGGGGTTAGATATGGTTGGCATTGTTATATTTAATGGAAAGTTTAATCACAGACCAAGCCTACTTGGTTGATTTTGGTATGCAACAGTTATTTGTGTAACTAGTGGACGAAGCAGCAAAGGCAGTTTGCACTCGTGTTACACATTATATTTTTCCTACAGTTACTATAAATCATATAAATAATTAGTCTTTCAAACACTGTACAACACGTTTTTAGGTTAGATTAAATCCAAACATTGAACGAAATGGGAAATGCTACACCAGCTGATCGTAGTCATAATATCTTTTAAGTAAAGTGTGGCCAACTATTTTCAAGCGTTTACGTGCATATTAAAAGCACGCTGTTTTGTGTTGTTTGGTTGCAATACTGGTGTGCACCAAAGTAAAAACCGTGCGCCAAAGTAAAATTATGCACCAAATAAGGCTTTCTGTAAGGAAGCCCACTTTGTCGGGTAGGAAAAAGTACTTTCCAATTTCGAATGGTTTCCATTGAGGGTAGAATATGCCCTTATACACTTGTTATTTAACTCACATTAAAGGCCAACATAAGTCAAATCTCCCCATGTTATTAGTTTGTCAAGAATTAATTTATAGGAATAAACCACTCCATTTGGGTTGGTAAACATAGGCACGAGAGTGTTTGCATTGCTTCATCAAATTAGCAGCTTTAATTTCATTGCAATTAATCCATTTCATAGCTACACCACATAGACGCTAAAATGTTTTAAATCTTAAAATATCAATAATCCTAACTAATACTTTTGAATACTCACGTATTCTTTTCCTGGCCTCAATGTAAGCCTGATTGATGGCGTCGTACGTTATACACGGCGGCATTCCCTCATAGTCACTGGAAAAAAACAAATTCTTGTTGGTAAACCTGAATTATCCATCTTCATAAGTAGGGTTTGTATAAAATAGAGCTTTAAAGGAAAGTAGTAATGTGATTCTTATAATTTTACAAGTCTAAATTCATAAAAATATTTTAAGTGAACTGCATCAAGTAGGCATTAACTTTGAACCTAGATATTTTTAGCTTTTGTCAATTTCTACACCCTTGTCACATTAAATAATTTGGGTGAGTATAATAGATGTGAGTTTTTTTTTTCTTTGAGTTGAGTATATTATGATCACTTGACAAAAGAACACACAACATTTCAAATTAGAATGCTATAAAAATCCAGAATAGAATTTTTGCCAGGGCCTACAGAAATTGATTTCAGTATTAAGATACAAAAATGTTCTATAAAGAAAGTAATCCAGCTCGATTTTGCAATTTCGGGTGCGGTACCCTAAAGACATCTGTAGGAATACGTCAACGGTCCCTCGAGTCTTATCTTTACTGCATCGCATTGCTTAACATGGAACACCATTGGCAAAAAGAACTAAAAATATAGACCGTCAGCTGTGCTGCGGTTTCCATAGGTTCTGGCCCACACCACTGGGAGCGCCATGTAGCTACGGCCTACGCGCTACGTAACTACAAGGCGCTCCCAGCGGTGTGCGCCAGAACCTATGGAAACCATGATAACCACATCATGGATGACGGTCCACATTTAATTCTTTTTGGCTATGGTAACACCCAGCTCCAAAGTACGAGCGGTATCGGAGGTGATCAAGCTAGTTTACAATTCTGCCACCAGAGGTCAGAAGATACAGCTGGCGGCGCTCTTGACCCCAGAGTCTCAAGTATTGGGTTCAGTCAGCAACCTGATCACATTGACTTCCTAGATCACCTTGGAGTGCACCTTGCAGACAAACAATTAGAAGCCTTGAAGCCACTGCCACCGTGATCTGGGCCTGGCGATCTAGAAGGCGCTGAGGATTTAAGTGTTCCATGTGGAAAAGTGTTGTATAAATATTCTAGGGTTCTTAAATTATTTTTCGAATTTATGAAATTTTCACACACAGATTGCAGCATGTATTGCGTCCTATAACTAATGATCGTTTCTGAATACGACGAACAGTTGCATTGCAAAATAGTGCTGTTTAAAGTAAAGATAATTATGTAAACTGACATCTTTCGAGGTGTTGTCTGTGCCCCTGAACATATGTATTTTAAATGAGGGTTAAATAGGGGATTGTATTTCAAAGGGGCTCCCATATTGCTAAGGGTATAAGTATTTGAACTATTTCCTCAGATAAAATTACAGATGTGTTAATAGTTTAGATGGATTCTTTTGTCTGTAGAACTGCTTAAATAAGCCTAATAAGGTTGCTTAAAGTAGGGAAAGGTTTGGTAAAATGTATAAAAAAGCAACAAGGGATCAAATATTCTCCAAGCATGCCAAAATAAATTTTGTAAATTTGTATTTTAGACACAGCAAAGTTTTCCTGAACGTGATACAGTTTTTCGTACATTTTTAGAGTGTTTTGCGACAGAGGCAAATCGTGGTTCAGGCAATAGTTTTTACTAAATCATGCAGTGTTTCTTCAGAATCCCAATGTTCCTTCAATAATTCGATTTTTTTTTCTAAAGATATACAAATTGCTACTCTGAGATGTTAATGTGTTTGTGGAAGAAGTTTACAAAGTATGATAAACTATATGACGCAACTTAAATGGTTGTTGCAACTATATGACTAATATGAACTTTTTACTATATGTGGTAAAATGTGGTTCAAATAACTTATTTAAAATTTCTGTTCATATTGATAAAGAGCTACAGATTTTAACATATCTTTTTAAGAGAGAATTGTTTATCCTAAAGGTAATTGCGTTTATATATAATTTCAGTTTTTATCCAAAGATGCCAATGTAGTGCAATACGAAAGAAGTGAAAACGGCATATTTCACTAGCATATTTAGTATACGTAATAATAAATTGAATGTGATTTTTTTACCTTAACCAATAACGTAGTTACACTCATAAGCATAACGAACTGCCAAAATTTCTTAGGTTAAAATGAAATTTATGTTTGAACGAAATGACACATTGAAGGAGAAATAAATTCCAACATTTTAACTTGGCAACTATATTATACCAGATGTGAAGACGAAAACACACCAGCTAGTTTGCTCCTGTCATTTGGACAACACAACTGTAACAATGTTGTGTTACGATTATGAGTGGTCGGGAACAATAAAATCCTTGTATCTGACAGCTACAGGACTCCCTGTAGTTAAACATGGGCGTTGCTTCACAAAACTAATTTTCACCCTGCATGAAGGTGATTCTGCGATTAACTTCTTAAAAAAGTTATGCGTGTTTCAAACATTGTGGTTTCTTAATACAATGGCAGCAATTTTAATGCATTTGTCTTTGAAGTTAGGATTACAAAGTGGTTTAACAGTGTGATCATTGACTATAGACTTTGATTGCTGTAAGTTGACCTCTCATACTTTTCTGAATTCAGTTTTTGGGTTTCGTCTCAATATGGATACTTTTGAGTTCGCATATCTCGCCAGTATAGTTTTTCTTATTAGGTTATATTTTCCAGTTGCGCTTTACTGATTACTGCATCAGAGGGCAAGTAATAGTTTATAAAACAAATTTATTTTGCTTTAATTTGTTTCGTTTTAAATTTGAAGACAATAAGGAAAGTAGCAGTATTAAAAATTACTCGACAAAATCGGCTGGAAACCAACATTAATAGTTTCTTCTACTCATTATTGAGGATGATTAATTTAAAAGGTTGTGTGTTTATAAGTAAAAAAATTATAAGAAAAAAGTAATGTACCGAAATCAATTTTACAGCAAATTTGTATTCACGCTTACGCAGCTAGCTTATATCATTGCCATCATTAAGAAACTCAATATTGATATATAATTTACAATCGAAATACAATTTAATTAACAAACCCAACTAAAAGCACTTGTAATAATGAGACCTCTTATACACGTTTGATCTCTGGCCTTACTTTGAAAGCACTTCACGTAGGTCAAACAGCTGATCCAACCGTCGTCTGCTGAGATCATCAAATGACGTCATGAGCGTTACTTCAGCAAGGATCACGCTAATCAGATTGGTTTATTGCCTGAACGAACATAAATCCTTTCGCTAGAAAATCCGTACATCGTATTCAAGCGATGTTGGTTGCTAAAAGTATGCCTATTAACTTTCAGCTACAAAACGGAACCAATTGTAAATACATACGTCTATTAGTACATTGACAATGTATTTACACTTATTCTGTATTCACACACTGAATGATACTTTATACTTTACTTTTATACTTTTCATTGAAATGGCGACCATTACAAAGTAGATATTTTAAGGCCAAGTATGAATGGAAATGAGTGTAGGATGAGTGGCGCGATCTTGTAGTCTTGTTAGTGACTAAGGCCGACATATTCCCTAGACACAGCTGTAAATTGATAGCCCATACAGCTAATGGCAACTAAGGGACTTACAGTTTATAGTGGAATCCGAACCACATTTTTGCCTTAGTATTAACGAATTGGTCGAATTATCAGGATAGTACTGCGGATAGTCATAGAAGGTACTCACTCACTAGTGCGGACGTTAATCCACACCAGGGAGTATCGCATCCACAGTGCATCCCTATAAAATATACACAATTCGTGACCTCCTAGTAGATGGATTACAGGCCGACGCCACCGTCCCAGTCCCAGATAGATACATTTAATAATATAATGTTAAATAGTGATTAATTTAGATTGATCATGTTCATGACCATCAGACCCAAATTGTGAATAAACCATAACTTCGTGCTTAGGCACTGTTTGTTAGGTATAACTTATAGACTAACCAACCAAAGTGGACTTCTCATCTCATTTTAAATTCTGAAGAGTGTCTTTTACGATTGGTTTATGTCGATGGCACTAGGCACTCGTGTTGATGAAGTTTTTTCCTATTATTTTAGAGTTAATTTTATGATTTGCCCCTTAAACAAATATCTCGTAAAATTATTGACGAGCTAGAAAATCTGAATGAATAATATGCCACCTTAAAAACACTACACCTACATCGGTGTACATTGACAAAAGATTTGCATAAGACTAACGTCATGTAGGGTTTCGTAACACGGAAGTGCTTACTCAACTGTGGGCTTTAACATGCAGATTAGGTAGTGAAGATTACTCACTTACTCTGCTTATTCAGTAATCATTAGACAGAGCATACACTTGGACCACGAGTCAGTGACTCAGGTGGACAACTTACTTTCACTAACCATTGTTGACAGTTTACACAACAGTAACTACTGACAGACTGAAAAGGAAATCAGAGTAGGGTTTCATGAATAAATATTATTCCTTTTATCATTATAACATGTTTGTACTAGCAATTTATCTGGTTAGTCTCAGTAATAGTGAAATCCTTTATCTAGGAAATCTAATTACTTTAATATGTATATAGTTACTTGTACTATTAACAAATACCAGGAACACCTATAACTTACAAATTACTAGACAAAAGAGGGGTTACTGATTTAGCAATCAAAGCTGGAACTTCTGTTTAAGAGCCACGGGTTCGAATCCTACCAATCAACAATGACTTTTATCCATGATATAATCCAATGGCATGTGTTACATGACATGTTCATTATGTGCAATGCCTATTTCAAATCGTGTGCTCATTGGACTAGAAACCTAAGTTTGATCTCTGAAGGGAAACGCTAGGATTTGACATAGAAGGAAGGTACTTACAGAGTGCCTCTGAGGAGGTTGGTGCCGTAGTCGTACAGTGAGCTGCGGTCGTTGCCGAGGAGGAGGGCGCAGTCCCCAGCCCCAGGGGTGTACTGGATGGGATGTCCTACCTGGACCAGTCCACACCAGCATAGCAGCAGACCCCACACGGCACTTCTGCAAATAGAGAATCAATCAGAATATAATAATGTAATTCAATAATAAAACTCACCCCCTTCAGTCTTTGGTGTGGGTTGGCCACGTCAAGATTAAAGACTTTTGTGACTATATGGAACAACACTGACCATAACAATGTTTTCTGTGGCAAAGTTGCCTGGGACGTATGTCACCAATAGAACATTTTTATAGGCGGTGTTGTTCCGTATAGTCACAAGAGACGTCTTCAATCTTTGGACTTAAAATAGTTTATCCTGACTAATGACAGCTGAATCTTAGTCAATCTCATAACATTCTACAGTCGACACTGGTAAAATATGCACCTAGGTGGCGTCCCCATCTCATATTGATAATGATAAGAACACCAGGAATCACCAAACGTAATCAGACATAGCCAGACATTACGGGAAATCCCTAGATATCAATATAAATTACTAGAAACTATAGGCCATTACCAAAGTTCATCAAACATTACCAGATATCACGAGGCATTACCAGACATTTTAAGACCTTGCCGGACATCGGCAGCTATTACTAGACATAATCAGACATTACCAGGCATTACTAGCCATTTCCAGAACTTGTCACACATCGCCAGATGTATTACCAGACATCATCAGACATTACTAGACATAATCAGACATTCCCAAATATTTCCAGACATTTCCAGACCTCACCAGGCATCACCAGATATCACCAGACATAATCATGCATTACCAGATATCATAACTTATCACCAAACATCATATTCCATCATCAGACAGCACCAGATATCATCAGAAATTACCAGACATTATCAGAAACACTAGACGTTTCCACGACCTTCCCATAGACACTCTTCACTGATAATGCAGAGAAGGCAGATGATTACCCAGCGTCAGCGCCAGAGGATGGAATGGTGACCTCACGTTACCCTCCATTGTAGACCTTCCACAGGGAATACCGTCACATTCCAGGAGACCGTGAACGATTGGCAAGATTGCCTTGTTAGGAAGCTCGCCGATCTTCTCGTACGTGATTTGACTATTACAAACCCATTCGCTTTCAATGTTGTTAAATGTTTATCGTGTGGGAAGCGATACACTCCTCACTTTACTCAACGTCGTATAACTTTCATAGAGCATGGACAGGTTCGAATGTCTAGCAGCTTACAGTTCAAAGTACTTATATACAGGGTGATTGATATAAGTGTGCCAGCTGATTTATTCAAAAGTTATAAGGGATATCAAAAATTTTTAAATTGTTACTGCCTGGGACTTTTTATTTAAAAAATTTTGGTAAAGTTGAAAAAATAATTTTAGCCACCGTTTTTTCAATACGGCCGCCAACTTTGTTTTTCCTTATGGAAACCCCTATATTATATAATTTTTTAGAAAGTAAATTCAGTTAAAAAAGTTTTTTTTTTAATTTCTTTCTCTAAAGCTACTCGTGTAGGAGTTACAACGTGTTAAAACTAAGGAAAAATGACTTGAGGTGTACATTCTGCGTCATGTAGCTCCTAAACGAGTAAGTTTAGAGAGAAAATGCTAGGAGTAAATAAGTCTTAAAATTGCATCTACATTAAAAAAAAACCCATTTAATATCGATTCCATTATTAAAAGTGGCCGCAATTTTCCAATATGTCAGCAGATTTGAAAATAAGAAGGTTATGTAGTTAGTATTTTTAGAATGTAGATGCAATTTTAAGACTTATTTTCTCTTAGCATTTACCCTCTAAACTTACTCATTTAGGAGCTACATGGCGCAGAATGCACATGGCAAGTCATTTTTCTTATTTTTAACTTAGCTGTAACTCGTAAATGAGTAGCTTTAGAGAAAAAATGCCAAGAATAAAGACGTTTTTTAACCACTTTATAAAACAATCACAAAATATGGGGATTCCATAAGAAAAAACAAAGTTGGTGGCTAAAATTATTTTTTCAACTTGACCAAAGTTTTTTAAATAAAAAATCCCAGGCAGTAACAATTTAACATTTTTTGAAATCCCTTTTCATTATAACTTTCGAATAAAACAGCTGGCACACTTATATCAATCATCCTGTATGTTGGTGTGCTAATAAAACTAATAGTGAATTAATTACAAGAGGCACTCTCAATAAATCGAGGGTATTTTTTATTCACTTTTAGTTTATGTAGATGTCGGACTATAGTACACAATCTTTGAACGACACAAATGAATAGAATTTATAGAAATCTTAGGAGGTGAAATCAAACACAATCAATCAGCATTGTTTCCGTCGACTCTCGCCTTTTACCAGCCGCTCTATCAGATTTTATGACTCCTTTGTGTTTCCAACATCTGAATTGGTAATGTTTGGTAATTGAGATATCTATTCGCTTGCTGTAAACATTGACTGAGCCTTGTGGACGAGAGTGGTTCTGCGTTTTTTTTCATTTTGCAACTTTTATATAAATTCATTTCGAACTTGTATAGTTATAACTTTGTTATTTAATTGTGTATGGATTGAATGACAGTTTTAAATTTCGTTGTTTTTTTTATTCATCGCATTAGTATATGATCAACTAGCAGAGCACCCGTCCTTCGTACGGGGTTGGCATATAAGTATAAAATGCTTATTGCAGTTATACTCAAGCTTTGCGTTTGCAATGGGGGGAGGACACAGTTTGATAAAATTTGGTTCATAAATTTACGGTATGATATAGTATAACACATCTACCATTGCCATAATGTTCTACCATTGCACCTAAACAATAAAAAAAATAATTATCAAACATTCCCACAATATCACAAATTATTCATTAAATTAAAAACTCAAACCTAACTGTAAACAATCCTACTTTGACAGTTCTCATTGTGTATCACAGCTTTTTGTTGCTGCTTAGTTCAAATTAGCTGTTGTCATATATGCACAAACAAAATAATAATAGTGCTGCACCCTGTTGGGAAACCGTATAACCTTTTAATGCTATTGCATATTATAGAACCAACTTGTAAAGTTGAAACAGCTGACTAAATTCTTTAATTCCCTTTAAATATGAAGACTCATAAGGTTAACATGGGGAACTACCGACAGTACCGACCCACTGGAGCGGAGCCCGAACGGATTTTTGAGATAAGAATATGCCTATATGTTAATAGGGAATGTAAGCTATCATCATGCCAAATTTCAGCCCAATCCGTCCAGTAGTTTATGCGTTATTGAGCAACACACAAACACACACACAAACTCACAAACTTTTAGATTTATAATATTAGTAAGATTAGATAATTCTGACTTATCGTAAAATTAATTTCAGAATTTTCGTAGGTTTCCGTGTTGGCCTTTTGAATTTTGGGGCGAGAAGTTCTACACGTTTTTTACTTTAAAAATAATATGCACTGTAATAATAAGCTGAAAACTTGTTGGCATTATCAAAACATAATTCCTTTGGTGAAAAATACAAAATTGTCAATTGTCAATCGTTAATATTCAATTTCTCTATTCATTCATTCATTGGAAAAGTATAAAACCGATTACAAATACATTTATTTTAAAGTTACCTACATTATTTAACAGGAGGAATTAGTAAAAGCTGTGCTTTCATTAACTTTCGCCAGGTAAAGGTTACTTTAGAGGTCAGGGTTAAATGCGTAAACGTCTCGTAAATAAGTGTACGTGTGTGAAAACGTACATAAATAACATGAGGTCTTACAATGTGTGGATGCGTAGGAGCATTGGACTCTCGTATGATAATGAAGGAATTGCTCACAATTAACTATACCTAGTTAATTCAAAAAGAATTACAATGTGTGTTTTCCTTTTGTTGTCAGGGAGACAAATAAATATTTACTTTCAAAAGCCCCACCTACAACCTGTGAAGGTCCTATAACGAAGGCCAAGGTAAAAGAACCAAAACAGCAACATACCAATGACACACCTCGGTACAGTAGCTAAATTTTTTTAAGTTTTAACGCAATTATGTGCTTCTTTACTCACTAAAAATCTCAAAACTAGAACAAAAATCCCTCCATTAAAGACTATTTATATTGGCATGCGATGCAGTGCGAACCAAGTCAAACGTGAACATTTTTCTCGCGAGAAGCAATTAATGCACAGATGGTTGGATTCCGAATGTTGTAAAACAACTTTAAAATTTAATATACAAAAACCTGTAAAATAATGTAGTAACATTATTTATTAAATACTTTATGCCATATAATAATAATTTTTCATCATACTGCAGCTAAAACAGCCGTTTTTAAAGCGACCGTTGGGGGTCTACAAAAATCAGCTGTTGTAAACAGATGTAAATTTCGATTGTGGAAATCGATCGAAATTATTTATCGATTGATTTATTAGGTTAGGATTTAGCCCATCGTTGTCGATTGCTCGACATATCGATGGTATAATGTACTGTATATATAATACAATCGTAATAGACGAAATTATTGAACATTTTTGCATTAGCAGAATTGAAAATAAGCTGGAACTCGTTTTGAAGGGTTATCTTTACATGAATTCTTTCGTTTTCTAGTTTTGTTTGTTAATTAGTGATGCAATATGACGAAAAATATGGTTCACCACACGGGCAAAAAGTGACTATTGAAATTAATAGTCATATGATCGGCTTTGCCTCGATCGTAAAACTTGACCTATGGTCAAAAAGAGTCACTTTAGACCCTAGTGATGAAATATACTATTACCATTTGTTAGTAAAATATGGGTTGATATGAGATTATCTACTTTGGGATTTGGGATTATCCATAGCATATGACGTAATACTGAGATGATATTCTGCGTCGGGATACCATTGTAATCTCAATATATCGACCTTAATGAGATCAGATGAGGCCAATAACGCCTATATCACCATAATTATGTAGAGGACGCTTTCTAGTTAATTATACTTTAGCAGTTAACCTATCAGCAAAATCACAACCGGCCCAGAGTGCACCACTCATTGTGTTGTAAGATACAGTATGCTAGTCTTTTGACTTAGGCTAATGCATCTCGTCAACGTATTCCAGGTAACATTTGTCGTTTGGAATAACAGTTATG